TTATATAACGCATTTTTCTTTTTGCATGCATTCTGTAATCCCTTGCTCATCCACGGTCTCTCACTGTAATTCCTTTTATTTTTATACCGCTTACGAGGACAGTTCCTGTCATATACTTTCTTAAATATGTTTAAAAATTGCTCATATGCTTTATCTAAGTCATCCTCTCTATAAGCTGCCTAATTGACAGACATGTCTTTATTACAGACATTTAATTTGCAAAAATGTAGTAGCTAACAAAATCCATTGTAAAAGCAGGTAGCGTTAGTTCTGGGTAACTGGGGGATAAACTATGCTAGTCTAGAAGCTAAGCTAACAGAGAAGCAAACAATTTAAATAATTTGAAACTTTTTATAAAAATTTGATGTAATCCTATTTTGGAAACTTGTTTCCCTGTACAATGAAATTCTTAGGGAAACATGTTTCCTAATTGTGCATTTGACAAATAAACACTTTGACTTTGAAACAGGCTAACTCCCCAAAATAGGATTATATCAAATTTAAAAAAGTTTCAAATTATTTAAATTGAGCCCACGGTAAATAGCAGAAGATAAGTAACACAAGTTACAAAAGGAGTAGCAGCACTACAATCCCATGGATTCACATTGAGTGCATCATAAAAAGCAACAGTAAAAAAATACTTACTTAGTTAGTATGTATGACATCACTGCTTGCTGTAGAATGTAAATGTGAATAATTCTTGTCTCTGTTGTTTCTGCCCTCCATGTTTATTTTTACCAGTCAACATCTATGACAACAGGGCCTCTGGAGTTTGAACATGAATATGCACATTTTAATTAAATCCTAAAGGTGTGGGTGTGGGGATAAAAAAAAAGGCTCTGACTCAAACCGACCACTGTCCAAACTCTCATGTATCTTTACTTAACAGACCACATGTGCATTTCAAGCTCAGGTACCGAAGACTGAATAAGACAATCTGATGCAGGATGAATCAATGAACATGCTTTAGTCATAAACATTTTCTTTTAGACAGTCTTAATGGATAATAACTTAAATGCAACATATATAACTCTTGATGGCTATGTGGAAGTTGACAAATACAGATATCTTTATTTTATGATCATGTTTACAGCATATATTCTAATACTCTGCAGTAATTCTACCATTGTGTCTCTCATTGTGATTCACAAAAACCTCCATGAGCCCATGTACGTTTTCATTGCGGCCTTGTTACTGAACTCTGTTCTTCTCAGCACTTGTCTCTACCCAAAAATGTTGACTGATGTCTTATCAGAGAAACAGATCATATCCTATTCAGCCTGTCTCTTTCAGTGGTATGCATATTACTGTGTAGCCTTTTCAGAAAATTTGCTGTTGGCAGTCATGGCCTATGACAGGTATGTGTCTATATGTAAACCTTTGCAGTATCCAACCATCATGAGAAAATCAAAGATCTGTATTTTCTTGGTTTTAGCTTGGCTTCTGCCTGCTTGTGTATTCACTGTGCCAGTTAGCCTGAGTGCTGATGCTAAACTGTGTAAGTTTACTTTTAAAGGAATCATTTGTGGCAGCGCAGTGATCAAACTTCACTGTGAGAGATCAAGAGCAGTATATTTATATGGCTTCTTTGTTATTGGAAGTCTTGACATTTTACCTGTGGTTTTCATACTTTTTACCTACACCAGGATACTTTTAATATCCTATCGAAGTAGTAGAGAAGTCAGGAGGAAAGGTGTGCAGACCTGTTTACCTAACCTTCTGATTCTAATCAACTTCACCTGTTCCATGGGGTTTGAAGTAATTCTAGCTCGACTGAACATAGATTTCCCCCAAACTGTGCGTTTAATAATGACATTACAAGTAATTTTGTACAGTCCTCTCTTTAATCCAATTGTATATGGACTAAAAATGAAAGAAATTTATAAACATATCAAGAGGTTGCTCTGTGCAGATAAAATGGTCTAAGAATGTACTAACTGATAACAGGTGTGCAGTCATTTTTAATGTCAAAATAAAGCACAGATATGATCTCCTTGAACCTTTAAAGGCACCGGATGTAAACATTTGTTTCTAAACCTCTGAGCAGAGTATTGTCCATGTCAACAATGTACTGACTATTGACATAATATTAAAACCCAAACTGACAAAACCAAAGGTACATTCCTCCTCTAATAGGTTTAATTGAGAATATTCCAGTTTGTTTGATCTGTAGCAAAAATATATCTTTTACTAGTAATGACACAATCATTATCTCTGGCTGCATTGTTTATATAGTTTATAATTAATATATTCATGTTTGAAAATCAAAGCAATACACTGTGCAAGTTTCTGACTTGGTAACGTATATGAGTAAAACTGTAGTTTGGTGCTCTGAAAGAAAAAGCAGTTATTAATAATGCTAGTTATTTCATTAGAATGTGTAGTAGAACCAATGTTGGTTCTTCTGAAATGTCTTGGTAAACCCTAACAAGAAAACCAGCACTAACTGACACATCTAGTTTGGTTAAATAAAGCTACTGAGGACACCTTAGTTTAAAAAATGTAAAACTGATAATAATAATGCCATTATTATGATCATGTGATACAACGATGTAACGTGCCAGTGTAAAATGCTGCTGAAATGAGTTGATTACCTGAGAACTGGACATGTCCTAAATAAAATGATCCCATCAGGGTTTTTCACAAGGACAAATTTGCAGAGTTTGTTTTTTTGTAAACTCATGGATTTTATATAATGTAACTGCAACTAAAACTTACACCTGTTTAAACCATTTGAACAACTTGAACACTGGTCTTAAAACAGGCCTGTTGTCTTTGTTTAAGGGTAACCACAGTGATTCTTCTTCAGGAGGATTAACTATGATGACGTTGTTGATGTGTGAGTACTGAATAATACATTCCCATGTAATGCACAGGACACATGACTTCCAGCATCGACAGCGATGGCGACCGTGGTTACTCGCGCTCTCTTGTGTTTGTTGTTTTTCTTTGTTTCCTTGGTCTTGTGTAACTCATCCCGGATTACTTTGACCAGAGAAGAAATTTTAAATATCGGACAACTCACAACAAACTACCTTCCTCTGATTTTTTGTGAACGAAGAATGCTGTATAGACATTCTGATCGGAGGTGCAGCAGCGATATACGGGACCTGGAAAAAATGTCGGCGACATGGAAAACGTGCTGGCGCTTTGGTGCGGTTACAACAGAGGGGAACACGTACCTCACTCTCATCTATTCACCTGGCTAATCTCTGCTCCCTGGTCAATAAAATGGATGAAATTTTTCTTGTCAACAGGACTAACTCTGACTTTGCATGTTCTGCTGCTTTGTGGTTCACGGAGACCTGGCTCAGTGACTCGATCGCGGACAGCGCGATTCGAATACCTGTTTTCCAGGTGTTCAGAGTGGATCGTGTAAAGGAGCTGTCCGGGAAAACAAGAGGAGGTGGAATCTGCTTCTACATTGTAGTGGTTAAATCAATGCACAGGGAAAATGACTGCAGTGCCAAAAATCATTTATTGAACAATATTATTGAAATGTGATTGTGACTGGGAAACAGGATCACCTCGTAAGTCTTTTAGTCTTTTGTCACTCTGCAGAGGATGTCAGGTAGTCTGGTCTCGTCTCCCCCAGGGTCTTCACACACAACTCAGCTCCGCTCTCTCTCCCCTGATCAGCCCCCTGCTCCTTTTTATTTCCATCTCTCTCCTTCACATTCTTTTCCTTATTAGTTCTGCTCTATTAGCTTATCCACTATCATCTCCTTCTTTGGGGAAAACTCCTGACCATCCGACCTCCTCCTCGAGCAGAACAGAAACTGACCTTTCCTAGTTACACAAGCATTTTCCTATCTGGACACTAGAAGTCTATTTTAGTATCTATTCTAAGAGACATTTATGTAATATATCCCATGACCCATTTGAATCAGGAATATGTTAACAAAGGATTAGCTACTAGACATAAACTGTTTGTTCTAACCACCACAACATAAATGAAGGTTGGTGCACAGATGTCACAGTGCTACAGAGGACATGTACCACAGACCTAGGGTCTCTTGTTATCAACTGCAAACCCTTTTACTCTCCCTGTGAATTCAACAGTTTCATGCTAATGGGAGTGTACATAACACGGCAGGCTAACGCTAGCGCGCTATGACTCCTAGCAGAACTGATAACTAGCCTGGAGCTAGAACATCCTGACTCTCCACTCATTGTTCTAGGGGACTTTAACAGAGAAAACCTCACCCACAAACTGCCCAAATACAGACAGCACATCACCTGTCCCACCAGGGACAAAGCCACACTGGATAACTGCTACACAACAATAAAAGACGCCTATCACTCTGTCCCTCGCGCAGCCCTCGGACTCTTGGATCACTGCATGGTCCGTCTTATTCCAGCCTACAGGCAGAAACTTAAAGCTGTGAAGCCTGTAGTCAAAACAGTGAAGAGCGGGACTGAGGAGGCTAAGTCAGAGCTACAGGCCTGCTTTGACTACACAGACTGGAGTGTATTTGAGACTGCAGCTACAGACCTGGATGAACTCCCTGGCACTTACAGTGCCTTGCGAAAGTATTCGGCCCCCTTGAACTTTGCAACCTTTTGCCACATTTCAGGCTTCAAACATAAAGATATAAAACTGTAATTTTTTGTGAAGAATCAACAACAAGTGGGACACAATCATGAAGTGGAACGAAATTTATTGGATATTTCAAACTTTTTTAACAAATAAAAAACTGAAAAATTGGGCGTGCAAAATTATTCAACCCCCTTAAGTTAATACGTTGTAGCGCCACCTTTTGCTGCGATTACAGCTGTAAATCGCTTGGGGTATGTCTCTATCAGTTTTGCACATCGAGAGACTGAAATTTTTGCCCATGCCTCCTTGCAAAACAGCTCGAGCTCAGTGAGGTTGGATGGAGAGCATTTGTGAACAGCAGTTTTCAGTTCTTTCCACAGATTCTCGATTGGATTCAGGTCTGGACTTTGACTTGACCATTCTAACACCTGGATATGTTTATTTGTGAACCATTCCATTGTAGATTTTGCTTTATGTTTTGAATCATTGTCTTGTTGGAAGACAAATCTCCGTCCCAGGCTCAGGTCTTTTGCAGACTCCATCAGGTTTCCATCCAGAATGGTCCTGTATTTGGCTCCATCCATCTTCCCATCAATTTTAACCATCTTCCCTGTCCCTGCTAAAGAAAAGCAGGCCCAAACCATGATGCTGCCACCACCATGTTTGACAGTGGGGATGGTGTGTTCAGGGTGATGAGCTGTGTTGCTTTTACGCCAAACATAACATTTTGCATTGTTGCCAAAAAGTTCGATTTTGGTTTCATCTGACCAGAGCACCTTCTTCCACATGTTTGGTGTGTCTCCCAGGTGGCTTGTGGCAAACTTTAAACAACACTTTTTATGGATATCTTTAAGAAATGGCTTTCTTCTTGCCACTCTTCCATAAAGGCCAGATTTGTGCAGTATACGACTGATTGTTGTCCTATGGACAGAGTCTCCCACCTCAGCTGTAGATCTCTGCAGTTCATCCAGAGTGATCATGGGCCGCTTGGCTGCATCTCTGATCAGTCTTCTCCTTGTATGAGCTGAAAGTTTAGAGGGACGGCCAGGTCTTGGTAGATTTGCAGTGGTCTGATACTCCTTCCATTTCAATATTATCGCTTGCACAGTGCTCCTTGGGATGTTTAAAGCTTGGGAAATCTTTTTGTATCCAAATCCGGCTTTAAACTTCTCCACAACAGTATCTCGGACCTGCCTGGTGTGTTCCTTGTTCTTCATGATGCTCTCTGCGCTTTAAACAGACCTCTGAGACTATCACAGTGCAGGTGCATTTATACGGAGACTTGATTACACACAGGTGGATTCTATTTATCATCATTAGTCATTTAGGTCAACATTGGATCATTCAGAGATCCTCACTGAACTTCTGGAGAGAGTTTGCTGCACTGAAAGTAAAGGGGCTGAATAATTTTGCACGCCCAATTATTCAGTTTTTTATTTGTTAAAAAAGTTTGAAATATCCAATAAATTTCGTTCCACTTCATGATTGTGTCCCACTTGTTGTTGATTCTTCACAAAAAATTACAGTTTTATATCTTTATGTTTGAAGCCTGAAATGTGGCAAAAGGTCGCAAAGTTCAAGGGGGCCGAATACTTTCGCAAGGCACTGTAAAAATTACTGCAGGTAGTGCAATGTAGGCCTAACTTCACAAAGGTTTATTCAGCTACTGTACAATGCTGACAAAATACTAAAGTACAGCTAAAGCTTATATATGTAAGGCTCCTGACAAAGGATCTCCCAGTTCTCCCAGGTCATTTTTCACAGAAACACCTTTTTATATTACAGTCCACACCAACAACATAGTCGTTTTGGAAAATAACTAAGTACATTTACTTAAGCAAGCTCCTGGTACTGGAGCAGTTTTGAGCTACACTTTTAGAAAGCTGTGCTGGTGCATTTAAAGACATTCTGTGCACAAATTACAGCTCGTTAATAGTTTAAAGGGTGAAAAGAATGAGCCTTTTCACCCTTGGTTATATATAACCAAGTATCCACCTTTTTGAAAGACCTAAGACCAATGAAATGATTGAGAGAAGCAACAAGTCAGATGGCCAGTGGCACCATATTGTAATTCTAAATTATCTATTAAAATAAAAATGATGACAATGTTAGGTTTTAAGCAAGCTGAATTGATGATTTCTTGTGTGCCTCGAAGAGTCTTCTTTATGTGTTGCAGACTTGGGTTAATAAACAAAGCTGAAGCTGAAAGGTGATAAATGAGTCTTTGGTTGGAGGGGGTCAGACTCATG